CAACAAATTAATACAATTAATACAATTATATTACAAAAGGTTTAAAACAACAAAGATATGATAGATATGTAAGACCTGAGACGGTATGTTGATAGTGGTTGGACCGACGTCAAGATTGTTGTCCCCGAGCGACGACGAGTCAACAATTGGCGTTGGTGGAGCAGACGACAAAGGTGTTCCCGTCGGATACGTCACACGTGAAACTGTGACATACCGCGTTTTGCGTCCGGTCGTCGTGCGGAGGTAAATAACACGTGGTTGTGTGAATGAGCATGGCTCGGGTCAAACGAATAGAATCGGATGGGCGACAAAAAAGATAATAAAAATGTCGTACGTGGTGACGAGAAATAAAAAAAATGTGTTCCGATGGATGAATAAAAAAAAAATAACAAAAAAATGACTGCGGGTATTTGGTCACTGGTAGCTATCGCTGTGATAAACCGTCCCCTCTCCGGGGGATAAAAAAGTCGAGGTTTGTATTGGTCACGACGTGCCAAATTTTAATATAATTAACTACTAAAAAATAACAATATCATTATTATCTCTTATATGCATTATAACAAATCATATAACTATGAAATACCTAAGATTTTTCTATGAAAATCGCATAAATGTAAATGTTTGTGTTTATCAAAAAACCTGTACACCTTTCAATATTATATTTAATTTAAGACTATTTAATAAATATTAAGTAATATGTAATTAGAATAGATACATAATTAATGAAATTGATACAATATAGGTCATTACACAAGAAAAACACTATATGATTATATGTTTCATAATAATTCCCAATTTTTGCTTTCCCTGGTATTATTTTAGCTTTGATAGTTAAGACAAATGTATAGCAGTTTGTTCCTAGAGAGTACAATTCAATAAACTCAGGTATAAATTTATAGAAATAATGCATGTGATGAGATTTAATTAAGCTTGTTACTTTCGTATCTAATGTGAACACAATGGTCGGTTTTTACCATTGTATTTATCCCACTGCAATGAAGTGTTTATTTGTCTTATTATTAAACTAGAGCTAGGAAAAAAGCTTTTAATCATGGTAGTGTACATAATGTTATACTTTTTTTTGTATACTTTGTAATTGGTGCAAAAAATATTTTTGAATAATGTAATATAGCAAGATTATATGTATAACATACAATTAATTAATTAAATCAAAATTATTTTGCCACATCAGAACTTTTACACCATTATACAAAAAAAAAAAAAAAATCATCAAATCAGTCGTAACATTGTTTTTGCTAAATTACATTTTTCAAACAACGAATTTCCAAATAATTTATTATTAATTTATTACATGTAATAATATTTATTGACATGATATTTTATGCTTGATTACTAACTGCTGGTTGGAAAAATATCTAATGAGAATTTGTTATCAAAACATTAAAAATATTTAGTGTTTTTTAATAGCTATATTTATTGTATTTATTATTATATTTATATGTAATACACTTATTATACATTAAAATTAATATAAATTGTTTTTAAAACTAAAACAAAAATTATTAATTATTCATCAATTATCAATTGATATCAAAATTACTAAGCAGAATTTTTCTAATGGCTTGTATATATTTCATATGTATTATATTAATATTTAACTGCCTTTTAACAATGTTTGTTAATTTTAGTTTACTTATATTATTCAAGGTAAATCATGTAACATAATTTTATTAATCTAAACGTTAAGCACTTATCAATAATAACTAACAAATGGTTCAATATCACATACTAATTTTATAAGTTAAAATGTACTTATAAAAAATGAAAAATCTCCAGTTAAAGTTTTGGCAAATCATTGCCTTAAGCAAATACGTTGTACTCGTATGCTATGTGTGATATTAACTGTTACTTAGAATGTAAAACCTTTTTGCTAGTGCTCGCCATTACACGTGTAATGAATTACACGGGTACACGTGTTCTTATTTGAAACAGGATTAAGGTCCGTGTAATTAAAAAACACGTGTATCTGTAAATACCCGTTCACCCGCATTGCCCGTGTAGCTAAATACCCGTCGTTATCCGTGTATCTAAATACCCGACATTACTCATGTATTTTATTCTCCATGTTTTTGTATTGTAATAATTTGCGTGTATTAAAAACACGCATATTAATAGATTTAATACACGTGTACTCTAATAACCGTGTATGACTACGACCTCTACTTTTTGCCAACATTATGTTATCTACTATACAATATAATACACTACACATGCTTCAAGCTATGGCTTTTAAAATTCGTTTTTCTTCAATTGTATTTTATATTTTCCCATACTAATTACAATAAAAATTATACGATTTCAAAAATGATTTTAAAATTTTTAACCCAATCACGCAGCCATATTTTACAGTAATATATTCATTACACCGTCACTCACTTATGCTTGGTTGCATCAAATGTTTACACAAATATACACTTGTTTAACTAAAGTTTAAATAAAAACTGTTTCACAAATAATTTTTTAAATTTGATTTGTAGTGAAAAATGTACTTTATCACAAGTTAAATTAGAGGCTAGATATTTATCGCCATGTAAAATTTCGTTATCTTTATTTTACAATCATTATCTCATATTGATAAATATATAATTCTACATTATAATATACAGTGGTCGCCGCTTATAGTGATCATATTCGTTTAAGAGAACTTTGATCACTATAACCGGACATTACTATAAGCAGCGACTCGAAAATACATTTTTTTTTTCACTAGTTAAAAGCGCACTCCTACTAGCCATAATACAGTATACAACTACACACTATACAAACAGTACAGTGAATTAGGGCAATTCAATTATTTTTTTTTACCATTCGATTATTAATTTCACGTCGAAAATTAATATTCAAACCGAATATCGATTTTTAACAACTGATTGATCAGTAACTGATTTTTTTAATATCAGAATAACTGATTAATCGATTTTTTTATTGACTGATTAACCGATTAATTGATTTTTTTTAATTACTGATTAACCTATTAACCCACTTTTTTACAATGGATAAATTGATTCCTCAACTTCTACAAAATTTTCAACAAGATTTGCAGGATGAAATGTTGATGTAGATATCCACTTTTATAATATTATCTCTAATACATTCCGAATCAATGAACTCAGAACATCATATTAACATTTAGCACAGATATGTAATTTAAGTATGTAATCAGGTAATATAATATTACATATATATATATATATATATATATATACAGTGTGATTACGATTCAATGTAACACTAAATATCTCAGGTCGATGGTCTTGTATTAAAGTGAATATTTTAGAGGGCCTAGGGGGTACTTAAATACACATTTATTCATGATTTTCAAATTTTTAATACTTATGATGTGCGCATGCGAAATACAATTTACATTTTTTTAATGGAAACACTACTTTTTTTATATATATATATATAATGATAGATTATTATTTTTTAAACATTTTTTGTCTTATAAGTTTCTTTCTATTTACAAAATTGACCAAGTTAGAATAAATCAAAATTTAAATTTAGGCATAATTCTTGTTTTATGGAATATCAATTTATAACCACTATAAATAATAAAATAAGTCTGAAATAATTATAAATATAATTATATTTATAATATTTATATTTATATATATATATATAAATATCTATATATTAGATATATTATTATATAATCTATATATATTTATATATTTATATTATATAATTATAATTTTTAGTTTACGATATTTTTTTGAATTTCATCAACTGTATTAATTAAATGTATATTTACAAAATAGTTACAATGATAATAGTAATATTTATATTAAATACATTTATCTTATGAATTGTTCAAAATTTTTGCCATAATGTTCTAAACATAATTTAAGTCACCTCAAAAATTCAGTTGAAGGTGCCGCCTTGATTTGGTCCTCACTTAAAATATCACAAGCTGCCTGTATTTTATTTTTTTAAGTCCTAAAGATTGACAGGTGGATCTGCATAAACCACAGTCTTTAAATATTCCCATAAAAAAAAAAAAAAAAATCCAATGGCGTTAATCTGGGGATCGTGCAGATCAAGGAACGACGCTTTAAGTATCAATCCAGCAGTTCGGAAACGTTTGATTTAATTGTCGTGTAACAATAACTGCATTGTGAGCTAGTGCTCCATCTTGCTGGAAAAACATACGTTCTCGTGTTTCTAATGAAACATCTTCCAACAGTCTTGGTAGTTCGTCGATTAAAAAATTAAGATATCTTTATATTAAATTATTATTTGTAAACAGATAAAGTAAATTAAACATTTATCTGGCATTTATTTTATTATTTACAGTGGTTATAAATAGATTAAACACGAATCATGCATAAATTCAAATTTTGACTTACTCTAACTTGGACAATTTTGTAAATAAAAAGAAACTTGTAAGACAAAAAATGTTTAAAAAAAATAATCTATCCGAATATGTAAAAAAAAGTAGTGTTTCCATTTAAAGAAATACGCAAATCATAAGTGTTGAATATTTTAAAATCATTGACGGGAAAAAAAATAATCGTAGTGATGATTAATTCGAAATAATCGAATAGCCTTACACTGAACGGCGCACAGTGGGCCAAATCACTTTTTTAGGTGGACAAAATTTTTTTTAACTTTTCATTTACTTTAAACATGTTGTTCATTGAGGGAAAAATAAATAAAAATAAATGAAAATAAATGTATATATTTATTTGATTCAAATTGACCAAATAATTTTCCATACCTTCTTAAATTATGTTTATCCGAGACTCGGTGTATATTAAGTAAAATACTTAGATTCATATTACATATCATTTAATATTTAAATAACAAATATGTATGCAATATATGAGTACTTAAAACTATATAACAAAATGAATCCAACCCTTATTATTTTTATTTTTCATAATGAAATAAGTAATAAGTAAATAATATTAATATAATAAATTATATAGACTAAATTTAAAAAAAATTAATTCTTTGTATTTCATTTTAAAAAAAGAAGAAGATATTTACATAAAATTACTAAGTTTCTAATTTATAAAAAAAAATTCAACTTTCATCACTATCAATGTCTGTAGAACAGTCACTTGAATCCGAGTCTTCAGTACTATCATTCGAATCTAATTCTATATCTTTAGTAGTATGAGTTTCTATATTATCACTTGATAAATTCATTGCTTCAGAACATAATTTATTATTTTTCTTCTTTACATTTTGTGTACTTTTAGAAGTAATGAGAGGATCAGAGGAAATTAAAAACATATGTAAAATATCTGCATTGGTGTCTATTCTTGAGGTTTTACGAGTGTTTTGTCGCCTAAATCTTATGTAGTCCTTGTTTCGTGCTTCTTGCGCTTCTCCGGACGAAATCCCCATAGGAAAATGAGCAAGCTGTATGGCTCTCGAACCGTGTACTAAAATCTTATGGACACTCGGCAGCATTCTATACCAGGGATACAATTGCAAATATAACTTTAAAGTATTTTTCAGAGTTTATATTATAACTACACCCCAAAATACTTAAAATAACTTTAACCCAGTTATCTCTGAAACTTCTTGTGCATGTTTAAAAAAACGCCTCCCTATATTACCAGTATTAGATATACCTTTGCCTTGCACAACTTTATCTACTTTTATTCCCAATTTTTCCCATAGACCATTTTGTATTTTCTTTTTTTGAATAGTCATTTCATTTTTTTGTTCAACACTTACCCTTTTGTTTTACTCTAATATTCCTTTCTTATATGCAATATGAAGCATGGATTCTAAACATTTTATCCACCCATGTAAAGGGGATAGTCCATATTGTAAATTATCATCATTGCATTTTAAGCTATATATTATCTCTAAGTTGTTCATATATTTAGGAAAACATTAACAAATATAACAGGTTTGACTTAATGAATTACATAAAGTGTTAATTATTTTACCATCAACCATAGTTAGATAGAAAAAAAAATGTATTTGAACGGAATTTGGTCCTTCAAAAGGTTTTAATTTTTTTATTTCTTTTTTTTTTATTTTGCTAACTTCGCTTTTGGTATTAAAAGCGGTTTCTTTTTCAAATAAAAACTTAATTGGTCGACAGTATCGGGTAGATGACGATTTTTGATTTTTCCATAAAACGTTTGTAAAATCACTATTATTTTTAGATTCTACAAGCTCTAAAGGGACTAAAGAAAATAAAAATAAATTGCCATCACATTTTTCATTTATACTACAAATCGTTATTTTTTAATGTAATTTCTGATAGAAAAAAAACGTTTTGCTATAATATTGGTGGTTTTTGGCAGTTGTAAATTAATTAATATTCTTTAAGGTACATAAAGGTATAAGTCTATAAACAAATTAGCCTCCCCTAATCCCCCCCTTTTATTTTGGGAGACCATAATATATTAATTTTACAACTATATATATATATATAATTTATTTTTATTTTATGTTAAATCATGGTATACAGAACTATAAATATAAGAAATGTATATTAATTTTGCTTACCTTGTACATTTACGGTATTCATTTTGAGAAAAAAATTGGTGTTTCAAATAGTACAGTATAGTTATTTTATATTTACTATTTTAAAGAAAAAGCGCAAGCATAGACGAGACGTAACGGCTGTCTAGTGGTTAATGACCTATATCAGACCAATTTCCTGTAATTATTGCTATCGAACGTTGATATTCTTATCATGTATACTATTTAGATATACTATTTTCAAACATTTATCAGTTTTTGCCTTACGAAATTTAATGAGTTTTGTCCACCTAAAATAGTGATTTGGCCCACTATGTGGCGGACGAAAACAAACTGGGTATAAAGTGTAAAAATATCGGTGCTTGAGAAAACAAAAACGGTTTTAAACATGTACAAATGTACGATAGTATTAGTAAACCAATATTAGGTTTTTTTGTATAGTAAAAGTAGGTAATAATAATGTTACTCCATTAAATACCACATTACATTTTATATAGTTTCTGTATTGGAATTATTTAAGAAAACTGAAAATCTAATAATTTTAAAATAGTTCCATATTAATAATAAGTTAATACCACTTTATATTTTATTTTTTTCATTAAAATTTAATCAATATTAGTTAAAATATATTTTAATACAGAATGAAATATGTGAACATGTATTTATCTCTAAATAGTCGGACTTGTTATAGTAATTGTTAAAACCTATGGAAAGAAGTAACATAATAGTTACCTATACAGGTGTACAATATACATATATTACATATATATATAGGGCTCGAAGTGGTGGGGAATACGGAGGGATGGCATCCCTCTACTTGTTTTGTCTAGAATAACGCATTTCTCCTAAGACTTGAATTTTAAAATGATATACTTATTATCATTTTTATATTTATATATAAAAAATTATTTTTTTTTTGGTGAAAATAATTGTTTTTAACATTCAGGCCCGGGCACCCGGTTTATCGTGTTGTTTAGTATAAGCCGTTTCGCAATTCGTAATATACCCGTGTTTAGAACCACGGACTAAGATAATATACTTTATGTGAACTACAGTGGTCGTCTCTTATAGTGATCACATTCGTTTGAGAGAACTGTGATCATTATAACCAGAAATCACTATAAGCGGTGACTAAAAAATACATTTTTTTTCACTAATTGAAAGCATGCTCCTACTAGCCATAATACAGTATACAACTATATACTATACAAACAGTACACTGAATGACGGACGAAAACAAACTGGGTGTAAAGTGTAAAAATATCGGTGCTTGTGAGAACAAAAACGGTTTCAAACATGTACGAATGTACGATATGAAGTGTCGCTTATTTCGTAGGTTATATTAGATAAGATTAGCTCGATTAAAGTTCATGATTAAGATAATTGTCATTCGTAATCGTTTTCCCTATACACAAAAAGAGGTGATATTATTGTAAATTATATTTTTATTTTATATTTCTGATATTTATTTCTGATCACAATAACCGAAAACCTGAACACTGTAAGCGACGAAAAATGCACTTATAACGACTTTTTGTTCTGTTCCTGGTAAATTTGATCACTATAAGCGGCTGATTCTTATAACCATAAGCGGCAACTACTGTATTGTCGTTAACGGTTGTGTTGTCATATATTTTTAGTATTTTTTTTTTTTTTTTTTTGTTTCTAATTTGCATTAAACAACTATGAAGAGTTCATTGGAATTATCGCCATAAAAACATACTGCGGGTACCATTTATTTTGATAATTAGTATACTGAAAATGATCTGAAATTATATACAAACATAAACTAAATTTAACGTTTTTAAACATTTTATTTAATTTATCAACATTTTCTATTGACTGGATAAAATATTTAGGGATTAATTTCACCAAAATATAAATTTAATCATTAGGAATATTGTAAATTAAGTATTTAAATCAGAAGTTAATCGAGGAACCATGAAATTACAAAAAACTACCAGAAACAGCCTGAGTATAAGTAAAGAAATACGGTTGGTAATTTTTCAGTAATTGTCATTTATTGGATGGCTGTTTTAGATTAATTTCGGCGTTATTTGATTCAAAGTTACTTTTTGAGAAAGATTTCTTGGTACGCTAATGATCCTTATGGATAAAATAACCTTAATAGTCTATGCAGAGTGCGCATTTAAAAATATCTATACATTGATTTGGGTAGTCTAGACATTTATGATCAGCATCATATGATAGACGCAGTAAGATTTTGTATTGCCATACTCCTAATAATTACTGTATTGACTTATCGTTTTAGTTTTTTGGGGATTTTGAACTTAATTTTTTTGGTGTGTAAATGTTTTAGAAAGTTCAAAAATTTCGTTTGATATTATTGGCAGCTTTAAGTGAGCGAAAAAGAGCTGGAGTGAAACTTTGATAACTTCGTAAAGTACGTTAGTGGTATGTCCCACGTCTAAAAAATGAATCTGTTCAACAAGTTGTTTCTCTATGATTGTGTCTAATTTTGTAGTTGGGAGCAGATACTGAAACAACTTGGAAAGGGTTATCTTTTTTGAATTTATAAATATATATATATACATAATTCAGCACAAATATTGTTGGTGTCTTTTTTTTTAAATATTTTAATAGACACTTGTATATATATAAATAATAAATTTAGATTTTTTTTCAATAATTTACAACTAACAGTTAAAAATTACAATAAAAATTACATTAGCTAATCAAACATTTTATGTTATTTAATCAGCCTAAACATTTAAATAAATAATAAATAAATTAATATCTTAAAATAATTATAAGATAATACTTAATAGTATTATAATATTTTTATATGAAGTGAATGAAGCGTTATTTTCTCAAAGATCCATAATGAATATTTTATTCTATAGTGTACATTATAATTTACTTATAGAAATAAAAAAGCGATAGAATATGAATTATATACAATTAAAATAAATTAATTTCAAGTCATATCAATTATAATGAAAACATTATTTGTTTGGTAATATTATGTTTGTTAATAATATTTTTACAATAAAATATATATTGATGTTGAAAATAACTGTTTTCCATTGAACTAATCGTCAATATAAACATTTTTTTGATTGTATCACTGTAATTACTTTTTATGATTTTATTACTATAAATCCCTTTTTGTGAAATTCCGTGAAACTAATAACAGACAAATAACAACAAAAATTATTCTTCAAAAATATGTGTGTTAATGATCCCTCTGAAATTTTTACAGGTTTCTATAATAATGACATACACAAAATATAATACAATTTTAATAAAAACACATTTTTTTTTATTGTAAATTAGTATTAAAAATGTGTAATATCAAACATTTTTTCATAGAAAACCATTTTTATTCATTTAAACTATTTTAAATACAACATCCATTAAGTATGTATGGAATAATTTCAATAATATTGATTTTAAGTTATAAATATTATTACAATTATTTTTCTAGATAAAACATAAGAAGATACAATCAATTTCACCACTGTCATCTTTAAAAAAACTTTTACATTATAGTTGCAATAGCTTGACTTAGTTGTAGTATTTAAATTACAATTATATAGTCAAAAACAATTTACAATTTTCTCATATAATCCAAAATAACAAATTTTCAATACTTATTAAACCATGGTTTTTATTTTAATTTTCAAATAAATTTACCGATTCGACCTTTGTAAAATCAAATTCTCATACTCGATTGAAATTAGTAGATTTTTAGGATGTCAAGTTTATATTTATTATTAGTACCACTTGATTAATTATCAAAACAAGTAAAATTATTCACTAAAGATACTTCATATTTGTATATTAAACCATTCCACGTAGGATATTGTGATTTATACAAATTTTAATTTATTTTAAGTACACACAGATTAAACAATATATTATCTATTTAAATCCATGGAGAACTGGGTTACGTATTTAAATGGATTTACCTTAAAATATAGCAATAATATTTTAAATTCTAAGTTAAACAGAAAAGCCGTTTGATTAAAATGTACGTGATTTTTGGTAAACAAGTTTTATGACAGGAATCGTATCTTACGATCTAATCCTAAACTTTTCTATACCATTCGAAATGTATTGATGACTCTAAAGTTTACCTTATGGCTTAAAAAATAATAAAATAATTAAATTATTATTTTCAAGAATATTAAACAAAAATTACACACACAAAATATCAAGGCTGGGAAGGTTAATGATATTTTTTAACTCAGTCAATTTAAGTTAATTCGGTTCATTAATAATTTACAACAGATCTTAATAATTTAGATTATTTAATAAATTATCAAAATAATTAATAATAAATATTGTATTTAAGAATTTTTTTTTTATTTGGCCCGAAATTAGAATAAAAAAAAGATACATTTCTTCATTGGGATTGTTTTTAAGCACTCAAATGTCAGATTTACGGTAATTTATGTATGGTTTTTTTTTTTTTTTTTTTATTAATTTTTCATACAAATTACTTATGATAAATTTAATTAAAAAAAAAAAAAAATATTATTTTTAATGTTCAATAACAGAATGAAAAGTAAAAATAATAACTGCAGCTGAAAGTGTAACTATAAAGTTATACAGATAATAAATGTATACAGTAGATACAAAACATAAAAAAAATAAATAAATATATAAATATATATACATATATAATAATATTTGACATTATTTTAATAAAACAAATAAAACAATACGATGGACAAGTTAGTCAAAATACCTATTGAATCTCAATAAAAGAGTCATCTCAAAATGTTGATCAGCTGTTGAATTTCTTCTTTTATTTAATTATATTTAATAAGGAATATCATCAATTATGGAATAATTCTCATAATAATTGTATTATATAATCAATGATAATATATATCTATTTATGTAATATAGATATACGGCCACTTTTCATGACAATGGTAATGTAATTCATGAAAGGCATGGCTATTTTTACTCAATAGTCTTATGACGGGTGACTACTTTTACCGAGACCGACGGGACCCCTATTATTAGTTAATACCGTAATAAAAATTATATTCTCATCTAAAAATTCTTCGAAATTTTTATTTTTATATTTTTCTGAATTCCATGAACATGTTATAGAATGCGGTATTTTACAAAAATATTTTTCTGGTCTTGAAAATTAAAATTAACTTAATAGGGATTAATGAAAAAATAAT